GACACCAGAACAGCAGCAACAATTCAGAAATCATAAAAACACACCGTACACCAAAATCATTAACTGTTAAACTAACTTAGTTCTGAGCTGGGCTTTGGTTATTGAAATAATTTTAGAGGAACTAATAAATATGCAATCCACACCTGCTTATAACCATAAAGGGATTTCTAAAAACCCATTTTCAATACGAAGAGATAATTTATCTGTGCCTTATTCCCAAACAATAATACCCAAACACTGAAGTAAAAGAGAGAGTGATCTGTTTATCTAATGGTGACCAACAACGGAACTTTAGTGCTTTCAAGAGCCAGGCCATTTTTATTATTATTTTAAATTCTGTGAGCAGAGGAGCAATCTGCTGCTAAGGTCTGCTTAAATTCCAAACACCTGCTTTCTCTGGTCTGGAGGCAGATGGTACGTCATAAAAATAAAAATCAAGGGGAATATGCACAGAAAGAGAGTCCCTTTAAAATCCGTTAGGAGGAGGCTCTTTTTCCTAAAATCTAACACTGTAAATATACATGTTTATGTTAATATCTTAGCTCAGAATGGGGAACTGATTCAGGGCATTAAAAAGTTCCTTAGGCTTGGATCTTGGAAGATGGTGGCATAAGTACACATCTGTACTTGCCGCCTCCCACAACCACATCAAAATTACAACTAAAATACAGAACAACCATCATCCATAACTGCTGGAAAGCTGGCTGAATGGAATTCCTACAACTAGAAAAGTAAAGAAGGAAGCACACTCAGACTGGTAGGAGGTGCAGAGGCTCGAACGAACTGATCCAGCACCCACGTGTGCTGCTTTTTTAATCAGAAGGGAGATTATCTCTGTGGAGGCTGCCCAGAGGAGCAAGGGATCCCAGCCCCACACCAGACCCCCAGCCCAGGGTCCAAGAGCTGGGAAAAGAAGTCTCTACAGGCAGTAAGAACTACAGGCTGAAAAACTAGTGCAGATTGGGGCTCAGTGACACAGAGGCTGCTAGAGAACCAGCTGTTCCTCTTAAAAGGCCCGCACTATGAACTGAACTTACCAGGTCCTGCCTCCTCTGAGCTCTAGCACCAGGGCAAGGCTTTGGGGAACACAGATGCACATGAGGAGGAACTGGATTGTCTGGCATTGGGGCAGGAACTCTGGGGAATGTGGGGGGGCTTTCTCTCAGATGCAGGGATCATTGTTCCTATGCTGGGACCTCCCCCATTGCAGGACTGATTGGCAGCCATTTCTGTTTGCTCCGCCCTGGTGATTTCCTAAGACCCAGCCTCATCCAATTTACAACCTCATCCAAGCTGTGTGCAGCAGCTTTTACATATGAATGGCCTTTCCTTGCTCAGGATAAAATCTCTCAAACAAGCTGCAACTGGGTCAGGGAGCCCCAAACTTATCAATAAAAGGCCCAAGACCTGGCACCAGCACCAGCCTGCCTTGCTTTATTTCTGGGCCTCATCTGGATACTTCCAAACCTGATACAAAAAGGAGGAATCTGAAGATCTCTCTGTAGCTCCTGCTGGATGGCCCCAGGGAGTGGCTGACTTTGCACCTACCTGGAGACCCAAGAGCCAGTGTACTCAGTGGTCAGTGTCAGACCATACCAGATTACAACTCTTCACATCCACAAGCAACACACTCAAGGGGCAGACTCAGTGAGCACCAAAGCCCCACTGAAGCAAGTCCATAGGGTGGAGGGGGGCAAAGGGGAGAAACAGCTCTCCCACTGTAGTGGCAGCTGTCCCCACAGCCAATTGGCCTAGAGGTCAATTCCTCCCAGTGACACCAACAGCAATCAAGTCTCAACTACAACAAGACTGTGAACACAGCACACAAAGGGGTGCACCTAGAGCTCCCAGCTCAGGTGACTGGGGAGGCTGAACCACTGGGCCCTACAGAACACCTACTACATAAGGCCACTCTATCAACTCAAGGAGACATAGCAGCTCTATTCAATACTAGAAACAAACACAGGGAAGCAGCCAAAATGCAGAGACAGGGAGGCATGTCGCAAATGAAAGAAATGGAAGAGAGCAGACTACTGGATATAGAGTTCAAAACCATGGTTATAAGGTTACTCAGGGATCTTCTAGAGCAGTGGTTCTCAACCTTTCTAATGCCGCGACCCTTTAATATAGTTCCTCATGTTGTGGTGATCCCCAACCATAAAATTATTTTCGTTGCTACTTCATAACTGTAATTTTGCTACTGTTATGAATCATAATGTAAATATCTGATATGCAGGATGTATTTAGGCGACCCCTGTGAAAGGGGCGTTCGACCCCCAAAGGGGTCGCAACCTACAGGTTGAGAGCCGCTATTCTAGAGACCTCCAAAAAAAATGTAAAAGGACCAGTTATAAATTAAGCATACACTGACTGAAATAATATACAGGGATTCAACAGTGGAGTGGAGGATTCTGAGAATCAAATCAAGGATTTGAAATATGAGGAAGCAAAAAACACCCAACCAGAAGAGCAAAAAGAAAAAATCCAAAAATGTGAGGATGTTATAAGGAGCCCCTGAGACAACTTCAAGCATACCAACATTTGCATTATGGGGGTGCCAGAGGAGGAGAGAGAGAGAGATATTGAGGACCTGTTTGAAGAAATAATGACAGAAAACTTCCCCTATCTGGTAAAAGAAATAGACTTACAAGTCCAGGAAGTAGAGAGAGTCCCACACAAAAGGAACTCAAAGAGGACCACACCAAGACACATCATAATTAAAATGCTAAGGGCTAAAGACAAAGAGAGAATCTTAAAAGCAGCAAGAGAAAGCAGTTAGTTACCTACAAGGGAATGCCCATATGACTGTCAGCTGATTTCTCAACAGAAACTATGCAGGGCAGAAGGGAGTGGCAAGAAATATTCAAGGTGATGAATAGCAAAGATCTACAACCAAGATTACTTCACCCAGCAAAGCTATCATTTAGAATTGAATGTCAGAGAGAGAGCTTAACAGACAAGAAAAAGCTAAAGGAGTTCATCACCACCAAACCAGTATTATATGAAATGTTGAAGGGTATTCTTTAAGAAGAGGAAGAAGAAGAAGAAGATAAAAAATATGAACAACAAAATGGCAACAAATACATACCTATCAACAACTGAATCTAAAAATCAAAATAAACAAATAAGAAATCTAATGAACAGAATAAACTGGTGAATAAAATAGAATCAGAGGCATGGAAATGGAACAGACTGATGATTCTCAGAGGGAAGGGGGGTGAGGGGGCAGGAAGAGACTCAACAAGATCTTATATGTATATATGCATTACCTATGGACACAGATAATAGGGTGGCAAAGGCCTGGGGTGGGGTGGGAACCAGGTAGAGGGGGGCAAAGAGGAGGAAAAAGAGGAACATCTATAATAATCTCAACAATAAAGATTTTTTAAAAGAAGTTCCTTAGCCTGATTCATATGCATGTGCTCACATATTTCCACAGGATGGGGAATAGCCTTTACTTTAGCTTATTATCACCTAAGGCAGAACAGCTTGTAATTGGAATTCTCACAAGTATCCCAAACAGCAGCAGCTGCTGTTCCAACCTACAGACTAACTGCAACTCTATCGAGTTCTCAGAGTGACCAAAACACTGCTCAAAGGCTGTGTGAATCAGCTTAAGCTGCTACAACAAAGTCCCACAGACTGGGTGGCTTCAGCAACAGGAATTTCTTTCACAGTTCTGGAGGCTGGGAAGATCCAGGTGCTGGTCAATCCAGTCCCCCTGTAGTGTCCTCTCCCTGACCTTCTCACTGTGTCCTTACATGTACAGAGAGGGAGCTTCCAGTCTCTCTTTCTCTTATAAGAACATGAATTCCAACATGGGGGCCCCACCTCAGGATCTCCTAAACCTAATGACCTCACAAGGGCCCCACCTCCAAATAGCATTATGGCAGTGGTTCTCAACCTTCTGGCCGTTTAAATACAGTTCCTCATGTTGTGACCCAACCATGAAATTATTTTCATTGCTACTTCATAACTGTAATGTTGCTACTGTTATGAATCATAATGTAAATATCTGATATGTAGGATGGTCTTAGGCAACCCCTGTGAAAGGGTCGTTCCACCGCCAGAGGGGTCGCGACCCACAGGTTGAGAACCGCTGCATTATGGGGATTAAGGGCTTTAACACACAAATTATGGAGGGACACAACATTCCATCCAAACAATGGGATAACCTCATACAAATACTTATAGGGCTTATATAGCTAAGCTAAGCTGTAATAAATTGGCCTCAATATGTTTTTCCACAATAATTAAGTATGGTGATGCTTCTCAAACTGTAGGTGCACCAGAACCCCCTGCAGTTTGGTAAAACAGATTTCTTGGCCTGAGCCGCAGAGATTCTGATTTAGTAGGTCTGGTATGGAACCCAAGTGATTGCCTTTCTCACCAGCTCCCAGATGCTGCTGATGTGTTCTGTCTGCTAACTGCACTTTGAAAACCACTGATATAGGAGTTCCCTTTAGAATGTCAGTATCAGTTATGCTTCTTTGGGCCTGTATTGGCTTCTCAGTAAATACCTATTTTATGCTGAACACATTTGAAATGTGTCATTGGCTTATGTTCAGATGTTGCAGTTACATACAAAGATGCGGAAAAGCAGATGGACAGATGTGCTGAGGCGAGGTTGCTTGGTGCTGTGAGCACCAGGCAGAGCCCATTCATCAGCATGTTTGGGTGCTGATGTGTGGCTGCGCACGGCTCTACGTTTTTCAAGGATGTCTGCTGACATCTGATCCTGACTAATTTTATCTTAGAATGTAGATCTGGCCTTTGAAGTTCTGGATTCAGCTATCTTACCTCTACAAGCACACTGCAATAGTTTGGCCTGACATCACATTTTGAGAAAGCTTCATATGACGCACTTGAGCAATGCTTAGCATTTCTGTTCAACTCATTTGTCCTATAATCACACTTGGTTAAATTTTAAAGCAAGGTTCTGCCATGAAACAGCATAATTTTAAGATTTACCTCAAGTGCACTTTGGAATGTAAACATACCTTATTTAGCTTTACAAAATATTCCAATCCAGCTTCCAAGGGATTTGTATCACAGTTCATCTAAAAGGGAAGCACACATTTTAAACCTTAGACGAGTGCAAATAATTTCAGTAACTTTCATGGTTTTGTTTGTTTTCGTGTCATTTTTTTTTTGAAAGAGAATACTTCTTTATTTTAAATATAAATTCTGAAAAATGATAATTATTTACTGGTCTTTAAAGTGATCTTTAAAATCTAAGATTCAAATGTAGCCTTTCAGATATTTCAATAGCAAAGTAAAATTCACAGTTTGTTTCCATGACTTTTATTATAATAAATAGCTGAGGGATACCACAACATGATGTTCCTTCCAGAAACAAGACTTTCATATACTTTTATGTAATAATTTTGCATAATTAGGTTTTGAAAAGTTATGAAGTAACTTGCTTATCTTACAATTAGTGAGGATTCAGGATAAGTAGAGGGGAAAGCAGATGGTAGGGAAATTATTTCTATGGAATTCAGGAGAAGAGAAAAGGAAAAAGCAGATGTGGACTCGCAATCTTTTTTTTTTTTATAGTCCTTTGGTTTTATTTTCTGGGATTAAAAAGGAGTATAGGCATAAATGTTTCACCTGATCCTCTTAAAGATATCCTTTAAAATAATTCATAAAATGACTTAATTCAGGTTTCTTGGTTATCAGGACCCATCAATGTCACTGTCAGCCTTGACTAATTGGTTGAAAATTTCAGAGCAGAAGAAATAACTTATGAATATTTTCTCAATCCCTGAGAATCATAATCATCACAGGACTATTTTATCCTTTCATCATATACTTCCAGAAAGTAGATGTGTTCATTCATTGTTAACAGGACACGGAGCAATGTATATACAGAGCAGGACTGGGGAATATCTGGCCCATAGGCTGTATAAGGCCTATGAAATCATTTGGTTTGGCCCTGCCAAGGTGTTAGGAGTGAGTTAATTAAGTGTTTGATAGCAGGCTAATTTTTAAGCTGATAATTTTGTATGGCCTGTGAATAATATTATAAATATCCAAATGGCCCCTGGAAGAAAAAAGGTTCCCCACCCCTGTAATAGAGGGTTAATCCATGTAAACTGGCTTCCACCAGTAAATTTTCTGAAAATCAGGGATATAGTCAGGAAGAAAACCAAAGAAGGAAAATGACATAGACCATTCTGCTGCAGTAGTGATCATATGAAGCACATCACCTTTGTTCTCAAGGTTCCAGTGGAGTTTCTGTACTACATCTGAGCCCAAACTGCCACTACAAAAGTGACGAGCAAATCAACATGCTGTGCGCACTTGCTCCAGATGACCAGCAGTAGTCTGAGTCAGAATACTTGTTTGCCATGAATTTGCGGCTGCATTTGGTAGGAAAGGATGGTCTGTACAAACATATACAGAGAACGCATACCAAAAGGGAGCACTGCTACACACACGTACAGCAAAAAACAAAAAGGTGGTTTTCTGGACATTTGCCACAACAGAAAGTCCTTAACAACTCAGCAATCCCAGTCCAAGGCCAGCCTTGTTTAATTTGTTGATACACTTCCCTTAGGAATTCAGAGCATGAACTTGCTTATAATAAACATAAATGGTAGCAACGCATAAAAGCGTGGTGAAATTTAACAGACAAGCATTGTTCTGGAGCTACTGTGCCAGTGTCACTGATATGAGGCGAACAGGGGCAGCATTGTGGAGAGTGACAGCAGTCATGTATGAGAGTATGAAAGCAGCAGCTGTCCAAATTGCACCGGCTGAAGGCAGGAAACTGAGGCCTTACTGACACCACCACATCTCAAACAGGTCTTAACACTTAGCAGTTCCTTGCTTCTTTGGTTTTCTCTTCCTCACTAAACTTCAAGTTCTGTGAGAACAGGAACCAACTGTTTTCTTCATCATTATCTTTCCAGCTACTGTTTTAGGCTGTCTTCAAATCTGCCCAACCTGCCCCTTGTGTAGATCCTATGTTCTCTGCTTTCTTTGAAGACCCATGAATCAGAACTGCAGTTACAATTTTTAAATCTCATAAATATTTAAATGCCACTGGTAATAAGATGAATTCCTTACGCTGTCTCCTCTAAGTGGTGACTGCTTGCTAGGATGAGCCGCTAGGGCTGGCTGCTGGGTCTGGAGCCTGCAGGCTGGATGGAGATGGGTCACAATCTTTTCTAATGCAGTTGCATTATTACAATATACTTCCAGTCAAAGCTAACACAGCTACTTGCAACTAAACCTAAAGTTAATGTTCTTGTTTGTTTGTTTTGTTGGTATTTGTCTCTTTTGCTCCAAGAGAACTTATTTAAACCTCATAAAAATTAGGCAAACTTTTAAGAAAAAATGACATCAGCACTAACATAAATCAAATGAGTAACATAAGCTTGTTTCACATTATATAAAATGTGGTCTCATATTTTCTAATTAATTTTAATTATTTTTTTATCTGCTCAAAGTTTTAGAATTTCTCTTTGGGGCAGGGGTGGGGGGGTGTTGATTAAAACAAAGCCCAGAATAATATTTACTGCTTGATACCACTAGAGGGCGTGCTGGTACTGCTGGGAAATCAGGGGCCTGGGATGGAGAAAAGTTGTTAAGAAGAGGATGGCTCCCAGAGAAGGCAGGAGATATAAAAGGCAGGAGGGTGGAGAAATGCCGGACTCCAAGGACTGCTTCTGTGGCTTCATCCCTTGGGGAGCAGTGTGGGGACTCTCCCTGCTGCATCCTCATCTAAGGCCCTGGTAGTAGGCTGGGAACCCCTTGATAGAACATCTCTCCTGCAAAATGCCCACCAGCCCCAGGGCCCTTCTTACAGTGGCTCCAGGAGGCTGCCCTCCCCACCTCAAAGCCCACTTGCTTCTGCCCATAGTTTAACTGCCCAGGGGGCCCTGCCTGGGCTTCCCAACCCCCTTTGCTCTCCAGTTGAATTCATTCTATTATATGCTAGGCACTTTATAGACTAATATCTGTAACTCTGTAGGAGAAAGATTATCTCTATTTTATAGGAAAGAAAACAGAGGCCCTGGAGAGTCAAGGCCACATGTGTGCTGGAGGATAAATTCAGACCCAAGAGACCCCTCTCTAATGTACACCCTTTACAGCTATTCCTTATCTCACTTTTCAAGCCTAAAACCTCAATGTCTTCTAAGGAAACAACTAGGAATCTGAAAAAATTAAGGGGTTCAGAGATAGCCTGTCATGCTGGAGATAAATAGGAGAAAAGAGTTTGAACCATAGTTTGGCCACTTCATGTAACCTGGTCAACATTGCTTACTGTTTCTTAGTGTGATTGGGTGCAGAATGGGGATAATTTAGATACCCTGAGCCTCAACCCCTTGTCCAAGAATCATCAATAATCAGGAGAATTGAGAAGGTACATGACAAGATGCATATGAAAATGGTGTGTAACGATACAAATAGAAATCCTTAGTTCCCATTATCAATGGTAGAAGTAGGCTAGACAACACATCCTAGAGCAGTGGTCGGCAAACTCATTAGTCAACAGAGCCAAATATCAACAGTACAATGATTGAAATTTCTTTTGAGAGCTAAATTTTTTAAACTGAAACTATATAGGTAGGTACATTGTTATTAACTTAATTAGGGTACTCCTAAGGCTTAGGAAGAGCCACACTCAAGGGGCCAAAGAGCCGCATTTGACTCGCGAGCCGCAGTTTGCCGACCACGGTCCTAGACCATCAACTGTGCTCCTCAGAAAAAAAATCCATTTGTTGTTATTTCCCCAAAGGGAATAGGCTAAGAAGAAAATGATAATGGGCAGCATGGCAGAGGAGGAGAAGGAGGAAGAAGAGGAGGAGGAGGAAGAAGAATTTAAAAGGTGGTCATCCTATTGTGGGGGGTAGGCAGGCTCCCTCAGAGCAGCTACAGCTCCACACACAGTCAGAGACAGTGTCCAGGGCTCCTTGCCAAGAGGAGGAATTAGGCAGAATAAACATTACATCATAATTACACTAAACTTTCAACTGGGAAAATGAAAAGAAAAACCTCTTCCTCTAATTAAATAAAGTTACCTAATAATACATAACTTCTCTTACAGTCAGAGCCAATGTTAACGCAGTTAAAACTAGCCCTTGTAAAAATAAAGAATGAAAAAAAAAATAAAACTAGCCCTTATATAAAAATCAGATACGATAAACAATATTTTAATGAAGATGCTGGCATTTCAAACCTCGGACCCCCAGGCTCTGAAAGCTTTCTCCAGTCTTAGGGCATTCATGGCATATGTGCCAAAATTGTCGATTCCCTCCTCCTGGCCTGCATCCATGATGGCGTTATACAGTGCCACAGAGTCTTCTCGTCTGTGATACAGCTCCCAACCCAGCTCACCTAAAAGAAACCCACAAGCGCCACATCAGAGTAAGAACAATGGTCACAAGGAATAGTATGCATTAGCTAAAACACATAAATAAATGGAGAGGTGCCATTTATGCAACATAGACATTGCTGAGTTTTAAAAGAACAGTTCATAAGGAAAAAAAGCAACAAAAACCTACTGCAAAATTCATGCCCAATCCTGTCTCTCACACAGAGGGCGGTATCTAGGACACCTCTTCACATGACGTAGAAAGACTATAGTGCAGGAGGAGTTCATCTTGACCCCTGACCGGCTTCATGATGTTGAGTAATTAGCATGGCATAGTTTATCTAGATAAGGGGTTCAAGGATTAGGAAACTCTACTCCCAACTCCTTGCCCCAAAATCACAAGGCTTAAAAAAATAGGCAATTGACACTTATTCAAATGGTCTTCATTGTGGGACAGTCACAGTCTCTAATTCCTCCTACTCCCCCTTTCTTCCCCACCTGGTCATTCCTCTCACCATTAGAGCTATAGGCAAAAACCAAAGGAAATGAAACCCAACCCAGTCTGCTTATTTTTTATTCTGCTCGTGCTTTATTCTGTCCCCACTTTGCCAAGGTTAGGTGGGAGAGGGTGGGGAAAAGGTACACCGATGCCAGGGAAGGGCTACAGCCTTTGTTCTGTGTGTTCTCCTTGTTCCCCAATGTTGAGGGCTGGTGGTGATGTGTCTTTCCAGGACACCACCAAAGCAAGAGCAACATGTCCTTGAACAAATGCCTGGGCACCAAGTACTCCTTCTGTGAAAAGACAAGGAGGTCTAGAGGAAGTTAGACGTGAGCCCAGAGCACCAATGGGGAGGTGAAGAAAATTCATTCAACTCTTGTTCTGAATACCTACTATGTACAAGGTTAGGTACTATATGAAGACTTCCTCAATACACTTAGAGCCTAGAAAGGAAGATGGAAAACAGGAATGCTGCAAGAGAGGTGCCTGATACATTCAAGATGGTCTCTATGGGAGACGATCTCGAATGTTCCCAGATAGAGTCCACTGGCCTGAATATTCTGTCAACCCTTCCAACTATTCCAGCAGCCGTCATCTTCCCATTCTTTTATTTACCCTTACAATTGGAAATTTGTGGAATGATCTCCCAGGCTAAAAGTGCAGAGAGAGAATTGTCATAAAAGTTGGGCAGGAGAACTCTTTCTCCAAAATTATACAAGAGAGAGAGAGAGAGAGAGAGAGAGAGAGAGAGAGAGAGAGAATTTTTGGTAGCTTCTTTTAAATTTTACTCTAAATTATTTTCTGATTCTTACCAGTATAAGATATCCTAATAGCAGTGACAGGAATGTTGGAAACTTTTAAAGACTTGGTTTGAAGAAACTTGAAGACATCATCACTAAGATCTTCAGAGGTCAGTTTCTGAAGGACCTTTCTTGCATGCGGCCCTGCAACTCCAAGGACTCCAAGCTCATCAGTTACGTTTTTAATTTCAACATCATATCCACCTTTGACTGCCTCTTCTTCAATCCATCTGCATTAGAGTCATAAACATTGTGTTAAATCTTGCTTGAATAATGCATGTTGGTAACATATTATTTCTCTGAAGACATACTTGGTGTCTAGAATTACCAGAAAATCCCCAGGGCATCGTTTCATATAATCACCTAATTTTTAAAGTTGAGGAAACTGGATCCCAGACATGTTAAGTGATTCTCTGTAAACCACCTGCTTATATAAACTGGGGGTAATTTTTCACAGTACAGAAGGATCCTTCAATTGAAATGAGCTCTGGCACACAATTAAATAGTGACAGCCCTATTGTATTTAAACTAATGACTCAATCTTCAAAAATTAATTTAAACCCAAATTTTCTCCAATACCTGTACACAGGAGGCACATTCATGGTGCCAAAAGTTAATAATGGGCCTGCCATCAGACACAGAATTACTCTGACAATCACAAGGAAAATATAAAAACTCTAAAGACTAGTTTCCATTTCTGTCCTGATGAGTTATTGGAACCCGGTATAGAGCTTGTTTATGATTTATTGAGCAGTCCCTAGAACTACACAGATCTATTGTAAGAGGATCACCTGGATTTACACAAAGCTAAGCTACTACCGAAATGGCTCCCAATACATCCTGGATTGGAGGATCTAATTTGCATCATTTTATAACTAGAGTGAGAATCTGTCAGCGTCAAGATTTCTCCTGCCCAACTTTTACACCTATTCATTCCTAGTCTGACATTTAGTAAACAATAATATTCCACATTCTAAAGATTCTTGTGAAGGATCAACTTGACGGTCAACAATTTAGATGCAACTGTGGACCAGAGAGCACAAAGCATGAAAAAGGAAGAAGATACCCCAGGGAGGCAGCTTACTAAATGTGGGCATCAGAATAAAAAGGACTGACTGGCTTCCGCAAGTTACTTTAATACAAACTTCAGTTTCCTCATCTGAAAATGGGAATAGTGTATACCACGCAAATATATATCTATTAAGAGAGGTAATTAATATAATATGTAAAAAGAGTTCTGAAACAATGATGATGCCCATAAATAGGAGTTGATATTATTAGAACCAGTAGAGGAATTCCCTTTTGGAAGGGGGTGGAGACAGGGTCCCTCACTTTCAATAATTTCCGTATAGACATGAAGTTTATTCGAATCAACAAGGTTTAAGAATTAAAGTTGTACTTTCAACTACTGGTGAAAGAAAAACTCAGCTTAAGACAGAGTCAATGTTTAATCCATATACAATTCTCTTACTAGGTGCACACTTACCTAAGATCATGAAGTTCTGATCCAGAACCAGTTATTAATAAAAACTCCCCAGGAGACTGGTGAGAAACAGTCAGCTCAGCATACACTCGACCTTTTGGTGTTAACATGTGACTTATATTTGTAAAACCCACCTGCACAAAAGAATTTAAAATTATCTCAGGATGAAACAAAAATCTTATGTATCCCTTTTAAACCAACATGGAAATAAAAATGTGGGTGTCAACAATAAAAAACATCTGAATCTTATCATTTATATCACTTGTTTGAATTATTTACAAACCTAAGTCCAAGATTAATTTTGAAGTTCTCAGTTTAAATTACAATTATTTGTCATAAAAATTATACTTCAGTCAAAGTTGTAGCTATTGACAGAATTAAGCAAAGTTCATAAGATTCTTGGATGATAACTCATTCAATAAAAATTTAAATTAAAAAATTAGCTAGAATATTCTTTTTTTAAATATATTTTATTGATTTTTTACAGAGAGGAAGGGTGAGGGATAGAGTTAGAAACATCAATGAGAGAGAAACATCGATCAGCTGCCTCCTGCATACCCCCTACTGGGGATGTGCCCGCAACCAAGGTACATGCCCTTGACCGGAATCAAACCTGGGACCCTTCAGTCTACAGGCCGACGCTCTGTCCACTGAGCCAAACCGGTTAGGGCAGCTAGAATATTCTTGATCAGTTGACGAGTTCTAGTGTTCATACCGAAATCATTAAGTGGACTAAAATAACATATTGGGGGTTTCTATTTTTTTTGTTTTAAATGAGAGGATAGAGTTAAACAGGCCACAATCCTGAACCTTGTACCATTATAAGGTTATTTACCTTTGGAATGACATTTGCAAAGAGATGGTCCAACAATCTAGTAGAATCTTGGCCTTTGATGTTAAACTTGCCAAATGGTGACAGGTCAATCACCCCTACTCTTTGCATAACTTGTTTATACTCAGAGCCCACCGGCTCAAACCAGTTTGTGCGGCGAAAACTTGGCCTGAAACATAGTTTGTCATAAAACAACTGTCATTAATTTTCAGAAAATTATAGAATAAGGATATTTTAATTAACCCTATTCACCTAGTAAATTCTATTTGGAAAAAAAATGCAACCTAAAATTCTACTCTGCAAATCATACGTCTATGTTGGAATCTGATTTTTTAAAGTTACTCATATGTCTTTTTTAACCCATTTCATAGTGAATAAATTATCTATTAACTAGAAAATAAGATAGGACATGTGGGCTTTCAAATCTGGAAGAGAGCTTAGAAGTCAAACAGTCCTGTGGTCACTAAGGAGCATTTTAAAAATGCTAACTATTTGGACCTAATTTAGAATATATGGGGGTGGAGCTATCTTGTCCAGCACTCCTGAAAATATTAATGCAAATAAAATCATTGCCCTTATTAAAATGCAGCTTCTGATGCAGCAGGTCTGGGTGGGGCCCGTATTCTGCATTCACAGGCTCCACACCGGGACTAGGCAAGGATCTGATCCAACATCTTCATCTTTTAGAGAAAAGACACAACGTGAATTCCAAGGCTTTGCATTATTTACTGACAGAGCTGGCCCTGGAACAAAGGTCTCTGATTCATTATGTAGGGTCCCTTCTACTTGATGAAGTGGACTCCTAATGTGGTATTTTAACTTCAGAGCAGGATGCTAAGTCTCAAAATGAGTTTTCAGTAGTTTAATTATTAAACTAGTAGACGAAACAAGCCAGATCCAAACAGCACAAGGTTAAGAATAGATCTGTTATTTATCTGAGTCATTTAGGGAAAACCAAACCAATATTTTGCCCCCAGATCATCTAGACTGGCTGCCTGGGGAGCCCAAATACTAAAGTAATCAACAACTGGCCCTCTACTATATTTTGCACCATTTAGGTCTGGTGTTAAAGTAGACATCAAAACCGTTTTTAAATAAGCAATAAAAAAAGGGAACTTCATTCCTAGATTTGCTATTTGTCTTCTCTTGGGTTATGCATTCTCCTGAGAAAAAAATATGTAATCACTATAAATCTCAAGTACAATGATGACATGTAATCCAAGTAAAACAAAGGCAACCACTCTAGAGGAGTTCAGAGAATTGTTTTAGTGACCGTCTTTATGTTTTAGCTTAACCTCGAATGCTACGTAAATGATCCTTTCCCCTCCTTTATCAACAGTGCATACAATTTGCATGACTTGGTATACACACACTGGGAGGTAGTTGCTTTGAGCTATTCCTTGATAACTAGAAGACCCATATTTCCATACTATTTCCATACTATGTGATTCAACCAGGCCTCCTAAGCTGGGACAAACCTTTAGGAGCCAACCGAAGGCATGTGAGGATGTGGAGGGGGTGAGAAGGTTCCTCTGAGCTCCTGGGAAATGCCAAGCCGAGGCTTCACCGGGGCTGGTGTAGGGCTCGTGGGGCCAGATGGGCCCTAGATGTGGGCCAGTGTCATGTGGGATAGACTAATGGCTCCACTGCCAGAAAATAGATGTTGTAGGAATGAGATGGAGCGATAGGGTGGGAGAGGAATCGGCACTGATGTCCCTCCATCCCACCTCTGAAATTGCATTCTACAGTCAGAGCCCCAGGCAGGTCAAGTCATTTACTTACCTGTACCCAGTGTCCTGGCCCAGTTTGTAGAACCAGTGTGGCTGTTCCCAGCCCGCATGGAATCCCATGGAACATTTAGACTCCAGGGTTTTATAAAGCCCACTGACTCGCTGAGTCGGCCTCCCAGCAAACCGTTCTTCTTTAGGGTACCCAACTGAAAAAGGAAACCCAGAACTGTAACAGCATATAACCAAAGCTAGCAAATACTTTGAAGGGATTCACAAAATGGAGAACAGTATTTAAAATCCAGAAGCATATACCTGTATTAAATTGATGTAAAACAAAACCATCAATGCTGTCATTTTTATATTGATCATCCAAGGGGAAAGTCAAAATGAATTTAAAACCGAAAATCACTGATGCACTCTACACATGAAATATATACATTAATATAGATTTCCTGTTGCATCTTAGAAGCACAAGGCTTTTCAGACTCCCTAACCACTCCCACCAAACTGCACAGAACAAAAAGCATCTAGATTCAGAGGCGCTGCAAGTCCATTTTGCACACACTCTGTAGACATAGTAAATTTGCACTTTACCAATATTGTTGAATCCATACGACTCTCTTGCTTTGGCCTCAGTGTACTGAGTGGTTGTCCATTTGCCATATCGATTGGGATCCAATTCTATTAGGTCAAAAGGAGGCTCTCCATGCAGGATCCAGTCACTGAGATATTTCCCTACCCCGCCGGCGTGGATTATGCCATATCTTTCAAAAATAGAGATACATATACTGTTATTGACACGTGTTATTTTCAAACAACAAAACATGTCCAAATATTTTATAGGGCCTTAAAATTGGGGTGTTCTGTGCTATTCATAATCTTTATGCTATCATATTTTTCCTCAAAAAGAAAACATATTTAGGCATCTAAATTAAATGCACCTGACTTTGTAGCTAGTTTGTTTCCAGTTTCAAGAGATGCATACATACAAAGCAGCCTACAACTCTTAGCTAGTAAGGATGCTCACTTCAGGAAAATGGGGTGAAGGAAGCAACAGGCAGATGTAGTTGATACCTGATCAGCCCTCTTGAGCTGTGATTATCCTGATTGGGAATTTGCAGCAACATGTACACTGTGGAGTGGGATGCTCATCTCTTCTTGGACCAATTTAGTTCTGTGCCAGGATCTTGGGCCATTATCTTAGAAGCATTCAGACAAGAGGCACTCACCCTGGGACTTGTGGAGAGGAGGCAGAAAGGAACACTGGCTCCTGTATTTTGTAACTAACGGGTCACTTGGTATAGAAGTTGGGCTTGTTTTCTATTTCCATATGAAGATGCTTTAAAACCAAGAACATGATTGTGGCAAATAATGTGATATAGATGGAGGGATCATAATTTAATGTTGGCTGTGTGCTGTTCCACCCACTCACTCTCGTCTAGTAAAGGACTTTACCGTGGGTTCATCTGTGGTTTAAGAGAGGCTTCTGGGGAACTGGCTGAGCAGGGGCTTATGGAGAGATGACCATGAAAAGGAGCTTTATGAGCAGACCTCTAAATGCAAGAAATTACAGGACTCAAATCACAGCATCTTAACAGCCAGGTTCTAAGTGCTTGGGAGGAGCTTAGCAAAGATTGGAAATGTCAACTAACTTTTACCAGGTTTGCTATTTGATAAAAGCAAGTGCCTAAATGTGTTAGAAGGCTATTTCTCCAGCAGAATAAAAACTCAGAATGGGTAGTTCTCTTGATAGCTTAAAGAAGAAAGACAGGCCATCCAAATTATCCACAAACAACCTCACTAAGCTTTAAGAAAGCAAGAAAAATGATTAAATATGTGCTTAAAATAATTATGAAAGACATGCTTAAAATGTTTATTCACTTACCCAGGCCCAATGTATGAAATACAACAGTTGCCATCTTTGAGAGCTAGAGGTACTGTATACAAGGCTTGAAACTGCATAAACTTTTACTGACATTTATTGAAAGTGCTTACCATTTTCCAGGCATTGTTTCCATCTAACATGTACCAACTGATTAATTCTTCAGCAACTCTATTTTGCCAGTGAGAAAACCAATCCACACACAGGTGTTAAATAAGGCCACACAACAATAAAGGGCAGATTCAGTATAAAAAGTCTGTCATCTGACCCCAGTGTATACTCCCTCTTATTGGACTTGACTTTGATGGTTCTATATCTTTTTTTTCAGCCAAGACACATGTGACAGAATTCACATCCCTGGCAGCGTCCTTGAGCATAGCCAGGCTTGTATTTTGGTTTCCTCTGGTCTCATTGCTACACCATCAAATTCTTTCCCTCTCAACAATGCCCATAAGCAAACAAGTGGGGCAGGGTGCTAGTGTTAGGGGATAATCCTGAATCAAATCCAATTTCTTTTAAAAAAGTAAATCTTTTAATAATGTCCACTCTCTAACCATCACCAATTTATATGTAAAATGCCACATAACTAAGTGTTATGAAACCTCTATTCAGAGCCCCTATTTTAGTAGCTAAACACATAGAATAAGGAGATCTGGGTATGATTTTTGTTCTTCCACTACTAGCTGCAGGACCTTGGGCAAGTTGTGTAACCACCCTGAGCTTTAATCTTCTCATTTTCTTTATGTGCTCATTTTCTTTACAGTGTTGATGAAGAATGAATTGACGTGACATTTAAAAGCACATAGTAGGCAAGCAATACCTGGTGGCTGTTGTAACAACAGAGGATGCCCAGTTGATAAGATTTTCATAAGGAAATAATGTATGAAGTGAAAGGGAACATGATGAGGAGAGTTAGGTTCTTCTTCCATCTCTAGCATTCATCTGCAGAACTTGTTTCTTCTCAAAGGCCCAGCTGCTAGGTTTTTGAGTGTCTGTGTCTGTTAAACTGTCAGATGTTACATTTTTAAAGCATTCTCCCCTCTTTAAGTTTGCTGTTTATAATCAGTTCTAAGCCAAGAAAACAAGATTCAACTCAATATAATTAATTAAACTTTTTGGGGGGGAGGCACTGTGTTAGTCACCAAGAAGCAGAAAAACTTACTAGATTGTGATGAAACAAAAGTAAAGCACCTTTATCTGAGGGTAATCTGTAAGGTAAATGATCACTGGCATATATGTAGACAGTTGACAAATACCTGTCCTATGGTCTGGTTGCACTAGAATAACAAACAACATAAAAATAACGATTCCTGGACCCCTCTCCAGACTACTGAATCAGAATCTCTAAGAGTGGTCTCCAGGAATCTGTTTGTTTGTTAGTTTTCCAATTCAACACATCTTTCATGGATTCTAGAGACAAATAATAGGAATTTCATAGATAACATAAAAAGGAGAATGAAACACATGCAAGTAACCAACCATAAAGTTGAGGTTCTGTTTTTAAACATTCCTATTAGGTGATTCTGGTGCTCAGCCAGATGTGGGCACCACTGGCCTTCAGAACCATGGAATGGATCACTGAGATATGCAGGGAGGGGCAGCTAATGTGAGCATCCCATCATATTACATGAGAAATATCTTAGCTATTGTGAATGATGCTGCAGTGAACATAGGTGTACATATATCTTTACAAATAAATGTCTCCAAATTTTTCAGGTAGGTACCCAAAAGAAAGATTACTGGGTGATATAGTAGCTCTATTCATAATTTTCTGAGGAACCTCCAAATAAAAACCACATGATTTCACTCAGATATGGGATATAAAACAAAAGACAACAAACAGACAAACAAAACAAACTCATAGATATTGATAACATTATGGAGGTTACAAGAGGGGGTGAGGAGTATTAAAAGGATACAGGGGATCAAATATATGGTGATGGAAAGAGATTCAACTTTGGTGGTGAGCACAAAGCAAAGTATACGATGTCATAGTAAAAAGTTGTACATTTGAAATTTATACAATATCATTAACCAATGTTACTCCAATTAATTTAATTAAAAACAAGAAAAATTACACATTCTGATTGTAATTTTAATACACAATTAAAAACTTTGTGCTTCAGTGGACACTATCAAGAAAGTGAAAGAACCCCAGAATGGGAGAGAAATTTTGCAAATCATGTATCTGATGAGGGTCGTATATCTAGAAAATGTAAAGAACCCTACAATTTAATGATAAAAAGACAAAGAAATAATACAACTTTTTAAAATGGACAAAAGATACAAATAGACATTTCTCCAAAGAAGATATATAAGTGACGTGCCAGAGACACACTTCCACATGCACATGCCTATAAGACTCCATAGGTGATTACCTGAGCCCTCAGTGACATTACACCTTCTAGTCCCATATCTCCATCTGGTTTTCTCCCTCCGGATGTCCCAGAGACCTAAACTTAACACTTCAAACCCAACCTATAAAAAAATGACACTTGCCAAAACCGGTTTGGCTCAGTGGATAGAGCGTCGACCTGCGGACTGAAAGGTCCCAGGTTCGATTCCGGTCGAGGGCATGTACCTGGGTTGCGGGCACATCCCCAGTGGGAGATGTGCAGGAGGCAGCTGATCGATGTTTCTCTCTCATCGATGTTTCTAACTCTCTATCTCTCTCCCTTCCCCTCTGTAAAAAA